TAACAATAGATTACAAAGGTAAACATAAGTCAATACATAAAAATCGCACTAGACCGTATACATAAATCAATAAAATTGTTATTATTACTATAAATACAAATAAAATTATTTAAAAATTACTGTGTTTACGATTTTTTTATTATGATATAAGTATGTTATATTATAAGAATTTTAATATATTAAAATAATGTACACCTTTTTTATATTTTTATACACCAAATTATGTTACATTAAAAAAATATTTTTGTGAATGATTTTTTTCTTTTTACCGATGGACGTGTAGTGTGTGCTTATATATATATATATATATATATATATATATATATATATATATATATATATATATATATATATATATATATATATATATATATAATCATCCTTTTACGGTAAATGTTGATCCAGTGAGAAGTTAGAAGAATTGTTGATCCACCTATTTGACGTGTTTGCTCAGCTCCTCGTCGCACAAACTGATATACTTTGATCCATTCTTGATGCGCGTGTGACGTCGGTGGATCTGCACTAACAGGATTTCAATATACTCGTCAGCGATTTGACCAACATTTGTTGATCTATAAACGGTCGAAAAAGTCATACTGAATATGATTTTTTAGATCCAGAGTATATTTAATTTATATGCGACATTTACTTAGACTAAGTGGATCCGGAGCCATAATTGACGAATAGGTACTCGAACACGAAGCGGCAACGTCGCGTTCTGTGTGTGACAGAGAACCCAGTAGGCTACTTCGTTATAGTAATAAGGTAAGAAAATACGTTATCTGCTGATTTTGTGGATCAAACTTTGGCAGGTTTTATTGTGGAAAGACGTTTGTTCGAGTTTTTGTTATCGTGTGAGTGAATTTGTGTTATTTTATTCATTTGTCATAGATCATTTAGAAGATGATGGATAGTACTTTATTACAAATTAATTTGTCACTCGAGTGTGTGTGTGTGTGTGTGTGTGTGTGTGTGTTAAGGGTGGGGGTGCCATTTAGTTTGCGCACGTGTGTTTGCGTGTGTATTTGTGTGTGTGTGTGTCTGTGTGTGTGTGTGTGTGTGTGTGTGTGTGTTTGTGTCTGTGTTTTCAAGGACAGTTTGGTTACAGCGAAAAACAGTGTGGCTGGTAAGTGGATATCGATACTGCCCCTAAAGATGTTACTACGAGGTTATTCATTTTTTCCGAATATCAGCTTGGATACCTATTGGTACTAGAGATAAAGTGAATAGAACTTTTCTTTTGTGACGGTTTCATCATAACTAACAAAACGAGCCCAAACTCAGCACACCCAGTTATACTAGTCCAAGATTTCCACTAGTAATCCCGAATTTCATTTTGAGGTCACTCCATCAAGACCGGAGGTAAGGTCTCATGATAATATCTCGTAATAGTTCGATTCTATACCTATCAATTTTGTAAACGCGTCCTTAAAAATCTTGATTATGAAGATGTAGAAAACATGTTAACTGGTTAACTGGCACACGCACAAACACATACACACACTCACACGTACACTGCCGCACACACAAGCACACACACAAACACAACAGTACACACTTGCACACCCATTCACACACACACACACACACACACACACACACACGTACACATACGCACACGCACACATATGCACACAAACACACACACACACACACATACACACACGCGCGCGCGCGCCACATATGCACACACACACACACGCGCGCGCGCGCGCGCGCACTTCTCTCTCTCTCTCTCACACACACACACACACACAAACACGCACTCAGACGAATACCTTATGTCGCCGTTGCCACCACTTCCGCTACAAGAAGGGGCGTTGTCGAGTAATTCGTTAAAAAAAAGTCGTTTATTTCGACCACAAGGATCATAGATGTTAGTAATAATACAAATCTTAAAACTAATTTTCGTAAAACTTAAAACTATTTACCTAATTTTAAAACTATATATTAGACAGGCCCGATTAGTCAGCACGTGCACCATATGACACTGGTTCAGGTACTGACCTCAAACCTGTCAGAAAATTCCCTCAGGATACCATTGGAACTGACCCGCACCCTGCGAACCAGGGATGTGCATCGTTTACGCATGGTGGTGTAGAAACAATCGACACGCGCATCCGCGAACATACCCGGCGCATTACAATAACGAGGTAGACCAAACAACACCCTGAATGCATTACATAACATGCATTTAATCTGTAGCTTGTACCGCCAAAGATACGAAACGGCAACGTCGCGGCTGCATACAGCTAATCCGATCGTTTATCTTATCGTTTGCTGTGCTCTGATTGGCTCATTTAAATCGGATCAACATTTTCCGTAACCACCGCAAGGTGGATTTGTATATCGGATCAACTTCGGCCAACGCTAGCGAACAGTCTCGTGAGTGCAGATGTTGATCCGGTCGGAGCCACATTAGTTACCAGAGATGCATATTGGATCAACAAAAGGCGCCGGATCAACATGCGTTTTCGGATCAACAAAGTGCTCGCGTGAAGTCGCGTCTGATCAACATTTACCGTAAAGAGATCTCTATATATATATATATATATATATATATATATATATATATATATATATATATATATATATATATATATATAGATCTCTTGAAGAGATCTCTTGATATCGATGAAGTTGAATGACGATGACGATGGCGATTACGGTTATGATGACGATAACTATGATAATGACGATGATGACGACGTTGACATTGAATGACTATGACGATGGCGATAACGATGATGATGACGATGACAATGATGATGACGATTACGGTGATAATAATGATGGCGATGACGATGAATATGATGATGACGATCACGATGACGATTACAATGATGCTTACGATGACCATTAGTGTTGGGTGGTTCGGGGAATAAATAAAACGCCCAGTAGTCTAGACTGTAGGTTTAATACTAACTCTTATTCTATCCTACATATATATATATATATATGTAATGGTCATCGTAAGCATCATTGTAATCGTCATCGTGATCGTCATCATCATATTCATCGTCATCGCCATCATTATATATATATATATATATATATATATATATATATATATATATATATATATATATATATATATATATATATATATATATATATATATATATATATATATATATATATGTAGGATAGAATAAGAGTTAGTATTAAACCTACAGTCTAGACTACTGGGCGTTTTATTTATTCCCCGAACCACCCAACACTACATGGTCATCGTAAGCATCATTGTAATCGTCATCGTGATCGTCATCATCATATTCATCGTCATCGCCATCATTATTATCACCGTAGCTATCGTCTATCATCATTGTCATCGTCATCATCATCGTTATCGCCATCGTCATAGTCATTCAATGTCAACGTCGTCATCATCGTCATTATCATAGTTATCGTCATCATAACCGTAATCGCCATCGTCATCGTCATTCAACTTCATCGACACATCACATCATCATCGTCATAAATCATCGTAATCATCGTATTGTAATAGTCGTGATAGTCATCGTCTCGTCATAGTCATCATCATCGTCATCGTCATTATCATCGTCATTGTCATCATAATAGTCATTGCAATAGTCATCATCATCGTCATCGTCATCGTCATCGTTATCGTCATCATCATCGTCATCGTCACAATCATCGTCATCGTCATTATCATCGTCATCGTTATTATCATCGTCATCGTCATCATCATGGTCATTGCAGTAGTCATCATCATCGTCATCATCTGTCATCGTCATAATCATCGTCATCGTCATAATCATCGTCATCGTCATCTTATAGTTGTCAACGTCATCATCATGATCATCGTCATGGTCATCGTCATAGGCATCATCATCGTCATCGTCATCATCATCGTCATAATCTTCATCGCCATAATCATCGTCATCGTCATCGTGATCATCGTTGTCATCGTCATCATCATGATCATCGTCATCGTCATAATCATCCTCATCGTCATTATCATCGTCATCGTCATCATCATGGTCATTGCAATAGACATCATCATCGTCATAATCATCGTCATCAGCATCGTCATCGTCATCATAGTAGTCATTTCAATAGTCATCTTCATCGTCATCATCATCGTCATCATCATCATCGTCATCATCGTCATCTTCATAATCATCGTCATCGTCATAATCATCTTCATCGTCATCATCGTTGTCATCGTCATCATCGTCATTATCATTGCAATAGTCATCATCATCGTCATCATCATCGTCATCATCTTCATCGTCATCATCATCATCGTCATCATCGTCATCGTCATAATCATCGTCAACGTCATCGTCATCGTCATTATCATTGCAAAGTCATCGTCATCATCATCGTCATCGTTCATCATCATCCACGTCATCATCGTCATCATCATGTGTGTCATTGCAATAGTCATCATCATAGTTTGTCAAGTCATCATCATCGTCATCGTCATTATCATCGTCATCGTCATCATAATAGTCATTGCAATAGTCATCGTCATTATCACCGACATCTTCATCATCATCATCGTCATCGTCATCATCATCGCCATCGTCATGATCATCGTCATCGTTATTATCATCGTCATCGTCATCGTCATCGTCATCATCGTTGTCATCGTTGTCATCGTGATAATCGTCATCGTCATTATCATCGTTAATGTCATCATAATCGTAATCGCCTTCGTTATCGTCATTCAACTTCATCGTCACATCATATCATCACCGTCATAAATCGTCATCATCGTCATTATCATTGCAATAGTCATCGTCATTATCACCGACATCTTCATCATCATCATCGTCATCGTCATCATCATCGCCATCGTCATGATCATCGTCATTATCATAATCATCGTCAACGTCACCGTCATCGTCATCATCCTTGTCATCGTTGTCATCGTGATAATCGTCATCGTCATTATCATCGTTAATGTCATCATAATCGTAATCGCCTTCGTTACCGTCATTCAACTTCATCGTCACATCATATCATCATCGTCATAAATCGTCATCATCGTCATTATCATTGCAATAGTCATCATCATCGTCATCATCATCGTCATCATCATCGGCATCATCTTCATCGTCATCATCATCATCGTCATTATCATCGTCATCATCGTTGTCATCGTAATCATAATCATCATCGTCATTGTCATCAGCATCTTCATCATCATCGTCTACATCATCATCTACGTCATCATCGTCATCATCATGATCATCATCATCGTAGTCATTGCAATAGTCATCATCGTAGTCATTGTCATTATTATCGTCATCGTCATCATAATAGTCATTGTGATAGTCATCGTCATCGTCATCGTCATCATCATCATCATCGTCATCATCATCGTCATCGTCCTCATCGTTTTCAACGTCATCATCATGATAATGATCATCGTCATCGTCATCGTTATTATCATCGTCATCATCATCGTTATCATCAACGTCATCATCATTGTCATCGTCATCATCATGATCATCGTCATCGTCATCGTCATCGTCACCATCATCTTCATTATCATTGCAATAGTCATCATCATCGTCATCATCATCGTCATCATCATCGTCATCATCATCATCATCGTCAACGTCATCGTCATCGTCATCATCATCATCATCGTCATCATCGTCATCATCGTAATCATCATCATAATCATCATCATCATCATAGTCATCATCATCATCATCGTCATCGTCATCAGCATCGTCATCATCATCGTCAACATCATCATCATCGTCATCATCGTCATCATCATGATCGTCATCATCGTCATCGTCAACAGTGTCGTCATCGTCATCGTCAACGTCAGCATCATGGTTATCGTCAGCATCATCGTCATCGTCATAATCAACGTCAACGTCATCGTCATCGTCACCATCATCGTTATCATCGTCATCATCATGATCATCGTCATGGTCATTATCATCGTTATCGTCATCATAATCTTAATCGCCTCCGTTATCGTCATTCAACTTCATCATCGCGTCATATCATCATCGTCATAAATCTTCATCATCAGCATCATTATCGTCATAATCATCATCATCTTCATAGTCTACGTCATCATCATCGTCATCATCGTTATCGTCATCATCATCGTCATCATCGTTGTCATCGTCATCATCATCATCATCGTCATCGTCATCAGCATCGTGATCGTCATCGTCATATTAATCGTCATCGTCATAATCATTGTCATCGTCATCATCATGGTCATTGCAATAGTCATCATCATCGTCATCTTCATCATATTCATCATCGTCATCGTCATATTCATCGTCATCGTCATCACAGTTGTCATCATCATCATCGTGATCATCGTCATCGTCATCGTCATCATCATCATCATCATCATCATCGTCATCATCGTCATAGTCATCGTCATCGTCATCGTCATCGTCATCATCGTTTTCAACGTCGTCATCATGATGGTGATCATCGTCATCGTCATCAGCATCGTCATCGTCATCGTCATAATCATCGTCATCGTCATATTCATCGTCATCTTCTGTTTGTTATATTGAAATATAATAATAATATTTGTCTGTTTGTCTGTGCGGGCTAGTCTTCGGCGTGACTGAACAGCTTGTGATGAAACCGAAGAGATTTAAACATACTGCTTATATGTTTTTGGATGTAACTTTACGAACAGATACAGAGCAGTGCCAGGATCCCTTCTAGGCTCCTCTAGGCTATATTTTATCGGAAAATCTTTAAGATCTATTTTAAAATTAAACGATTAATTGATAAAATGCATGATATTGTCCCTAATTTAAATAAGGCCTCATTCATGGTTTATATAGAGGCGAGTCCATGGCTATTTGCAAGTTTATATTATAATATTGTATACAATTAAGTATGAAAACATTAAGAAACAGCATGATAGCGATCATCATTCGTAAAGGAGTAGGTTCTAGTTTTATACAATTAAGTATGAAAACATTTAGAAACAGCGTGATAGCGATCACGTCATTTCCAGGATGTACTATTATTACCAAGGTACCTACTCTTTAGTGGTATAATAAATTTAAGCGTTTGGTTGCCACTACGCAGGGATGTGGGATCTAATGTCGCATGGTACAAGTGTTTGTATGGCCTACAAATAATTGTTCCAGGACTTAAATTATGTTAAAATTTAGATATGTCAAATGCCTCCACGATACAGAAGTAAATCCTACTACGAGAGTAAGGTTTAGCTGACTACCATAGAAAGAGGGTAATGGTTTTCGAGTATATGAAAGTATGTATGACTATTCAAATATGTGAATGTATGTATGTATGTCGCTATGTAGCTATGTAGTATGTTTGTTAAATTTTAATATAAGAGGTATCGTAAGATTAATTTAGTCTAGAGTATGTAGCATAAAAAGAAAGGTTGATGTGTAAATACATAAATGAAGTAAAATCTAACGGTATAGATGTGTTTTTTAAATGTTCGTTGTGGATCTTAATTCTGCAAAAGTCAAATAAACCTTACAAAGTATATGTGTCTCCTGCTGATCAAATGGTCGCAGTTTCGAATCCCGTGTCAGGTGAAAAATAGTTACTTGGTTTTTTTGGAAAGACGTCCTCAATAGCCCGTAGGCAGGAAGTTAACGGTGTTTTATCACCGTGACTCGGAAAATACGTTGTCTTTGGTTCGGCACCTAATCTCTATCTATATTGCCTGTTAACTACAGTATTAATTTTTTGTAAACCCAAAGGGCGATTAAAGCTATTTTCTAGCTATATTTAGTTTTTCTATATATGGTAAATCTTACACGTAGTAAGACCAAACTGTAGCTATAGTATGGTTGCGAATGGGTCAGCTAGACAGGAGAAGGACTTAATGTTGCTGTGTTTCATATGGTGAGTGTTTAGAACCGGAAATCTTTTCTACTAGATATGAGGCATTACTTAGTCCTCAGGGGTGATAAGGCATCTGAGTTTTCATTTTTAAATAATGATAAATGTAGATGTCTGTGGACCACAGTATCCAGTTACCATTACGTGAACTGTTCGCTAGTTTATCACCCTTACTCTATAAAAAAATGTTATAACTACCTAGGATCTGAACCCGTACCAGAGTCTTAGCAATCAAGAAACCAATTCAGTCACCAACATTGTGACTACAAAATTTATAGAAATGGTACAATAGAACTACTCGAGAATAAAATATACAAGAAATAGAGGACATTATAGCACTTAAGTTTTTGCGTGAAGTCTTCTAGACTTGAGTAAATTTCGTTTATTTCTCTATAAAGGAGTTTCTCGAAATTCAGGGCTTGCGTGTATTTCAAGGAAATAATGTCTATAAACTTCACCGAGCCTTTTCCAGTCGTAATGGAAACTTAAATTTTGGAATTTGTAATTCCAACTACAAGTTTAATATGAAAATGATGTAATTTGTAAAAGGTGTTTTAATTTTATTGAATATAAGAATAATATTTGGTAATTTCTCTTTATAATGCAGTGGACGATATAAATGTCAAGCTCGTGGAAACTGTCCATGCGGTCGGAGCTAAGTTCTGCAAGACCGGCCGCAGAAGAACACAAAAGCTCTCCGATCACACTCTTAATCTCATGGCTGTTAGACGGGAGATGAGGCTGCAATCTTCAACAGATTTGACCGCATACAGGCAACTGAACAGACAGATCTCCAAATGCATGCGGCAAGACTTACGCAAATTTAATACTGCTCGTATTGAAGAAGCGATTGGGCGGAAGCAGGACTCCAAAATCTTTGCCAGTGATCGGTCTGCCAGTAAGAGCCAACTGTCAAAGCTGAAGACTGAGTGTGGCAGCATCGTTTCCGGGACACCTGAGATTCTGAGTGAGATTGAGAGGTTCTGTGGGCAGCTTTACACATCATCGTTGGAGCCACATGCAAGTGTGAATAACGATCCAAGAGCGGGTCTTATCCGACACTATTCCGATGATATCCCGGACATCAGTCTGAGCGAGATTAAAATGGCTCTCCAGCACCATAAAAACCGCAAGTCCCCGGGCGAGGATGGAATTACAGCGGAGCTTCTGAAAGCGGGTGGAAAACCGGTACTTGAAGTCTTAGATGCTCTTTAATTCCGTCCTCCATGGTGCCACTACTCCGGAGGTGGACAGAGTGGTGGTCTTGTTTTTCAAGAAAGGTGACGCCCTTTGAAGAACTACAGACAGATACCTTCTGAGCTGCGTCTACGTGCTGTTTTCGAGAGTCATTATGAATCGTCTCGCACGCAGACTCGACGACTTCCAGCCTCCCGAACAAGCCGGTTTCCGAAAAGGCTTTAGTACCATAGACCACATACATAACCTTCGGCAAATTGTACAGAAGTCCGAAGAGTACAATCTGCCACTTTGCCTGGCGTATGTGGACTATGAGAAAGCCTTTAATTCCGTCGAAATTTGGGCGGTGCTACAGTCTCTTCAGCGGTGCCAAGTTGACTGTCGGTATATCGAAGTACTGAAGTGTTTGTACAGTAGGGCTACAATGGCTATCCGAGTACAGAACTAGAGTACAAAACCTATCCAACTGCAGAGAGGTGTAAGACAGGGTGACGTTGTTTCCCCAAAACTCTTCACCGCTGCATTGGAAGACGTTTTCAAGCTACTGGACTGGAAAGGATACGGTATTAACATCAATGGCGAGTACATCACTCACCTTCGATTTGCCGACGATATAGTCCTTATGGCAGAATCGCTGGAAGACTTAAGCACTATGCTCAATGACCTCAATAGTGCCTCCCAACGGATAGGTCTTAAGATGAACATGGACAAAACAAAGATCATGTTTAATGTCCATGTCACACCTATGCCGGTATTTGTTGGGAGCATTAAGCTCGAAGTTGTTGATGAGTACGTTTACCTGGGACAAATAGTCCGACTAGGTAAGGCTTGGCAGCGTTCGGGAAATTACGACACATCTTCTCGTCAGGTATACCTCAATCTCTGAAAACTAAAGTGTACAACCAGTGCGTGTTGCCAGTGATGACTTACGGATCTGAGACGTGGTCCTTCACTGCAGGCCGTATGAGGACGCTCAAGGTCGCTCAGCGAGCTATGGAGAGGGCTATGCTCGGAGTTTCTATGCGTGATAGACTCAGAAATGAGGATATCCGCAGTAAAACTAGAGTGACCGATATAGCCCAACGGATTAGTAAGTTGAAGTGGCAATGGGCCGGCCATATAGCTCGAAGAACCGACAACTGTTGGGGAAAAAAGTTTTTCGAGTGGCAACCTCGTACCGGTAGACGAAGTGTAGGGCGACCCCCCACTAGATGGAGTGACGACCTGGTAAGACATGCAGGAAGTCGGTGGATGCAGGTGGCTCAGAACCGTGCTTTGTGGCATACCTTGGGGGAGGCCTATGTTCAGCAGTGGACTTGTAAAGGACTGTGATGATGATGAATTTCTCTTTATATTGAACTGGAGTGCTACTCGAAATTAGAGCCCATCTAATGGTGAGTAGCCACTGCAGTCCATAGACACCTGCAGCAAACTTCATACAAAGAAGTTTATGCGTTGTAACCTATGAGGACTAAGATGGAATGCCTCACAGCCCGTAATAATGGCTTTAACCTCAATACCGGAACCCGGAAATACGAGCACTTTATTATACGGGTATTTAATAAAAATCAGTAGAACCGTACTGCAACTATATTATAGTTGTAGCAAGAATGGATTAGCGCGATCAGGAAAGGACCAGGCTCTTACATAATATCAGCGAAAATAGCAGCTGAATAGCTAAATGGCTGAATAGTGAAATAGCTGAATAGCGTAATTAGCTGAACATGGCTCTAACAGGAATAAAATATTGAATTATTGATTCAATCATAAGTTTTTTTCTTTACAAATCTCTAATTAGTAAATATTGTCCTTAATATTTGAAAACTTGTAATTAATATTTTTATTAGTGTTATTGTTATTGTAATCGACTACAAGCACCACGCTTTCATAGAACACCAGTGTAAAGTAGAAGTTTATTACTACTGTGTTCCATATGGTGAGTGACGAGAAACGAGGAATTCCATCTTAGTCCTCGGGGTAACAACACATTCTTCTTAGTTAGTTAGTTACGGCTTATATACGTCCCACTGCTGGGCACAAGCCTTCTCTCAATGCTGAGAGGGTTTTAGGGCAAGGAAGTATTCGTCGAGCTGCCCCAATATGTGTTTGTGAACTTCACGTTTGGATTTTTAATCAAATATAAATTTTCTGTATGTCCAATATTGATATTGTTTTATAGTAATAATTTACAATACTGTAATATTAACAAATAATATAACCTGTATATAGTGTGCGTGTGTGTGTATATAATGAGTGTATGTGTATGTTGTTATGCGCGTGTGTGCGTGTACATGTGCGCGTGCGTTCGTGCGCGTGTGCGTGCGTTCGTGCGTGCGTGCGTGCGTGCTTGCGTGCGTACGTACGAGCGCGCGCGCGCGCGCGTGTGTGTGTGTGTGTGTGTGTGTGTGTGTGTGTGTGTTCAAATATAAATTTATTTTTATAGACTATAAATACATAAAATGAGAAAGACATTTATAGTAATGGAAACTTTTGTAACCGTGCACCAATTCTGTTTTTTGTTAATGTATTTGTATATGGCCCACACGATACAAGGCGCTCGTCTGCTAATATGTAGGTATATACTTAGGATGATAATTTTTTTTTTGCTTTTAATGCTAAATTATTTTGTGAAGGTGCTAACTGTCAAATAAAGTTTATTTTTGTATTAATTTTCATATAGGCCGACCGTAGTTTTACTTACCATCAGGTAAACTGAGTTTTCGTTTGCCACACATAGGTGCTTGTCTCATTTTCTTGTGCTTCTCCAATGCAATTTCAAATTTCGTTTTATTTTTTCTTTTTCATAGAAAATGAAAAAGAAAAATAAAACGAAATTTGAAATTTCATGTAATTTTTGGGAGCAAGCACTTTGCGCATTCCTGAGTTTCCATGGCACGAGGGTTTGATATGGAATTACTAAGGTTTAGTATAAAATTACTAAAAGTTCCACAAAATAGTTTGCGAAGTCGATGCAAAAACATATTGTGTAGTGAATTTGAAAATCCGACTTCAAATTAGATTAAATACAATAAATTCAATAATAAATTTGTGTAGTATTTCTGTTTAAACTACCATTCGCGAACGACAAAAGTAGAACATTTTGAACTAGATCCAACACACACCTTCCTGCTTTCGGCCACGTAAACAAAATTAAATGGGAGCGTCTATAATTTTGGCCAATCAGATTAGAAATAAATTCTTTCCGAGTGAAATTCTCGTCCCGGTACAAACGTTAATGTTTAACGATAGTTGAGTTTATGACAGGGTGTACTGTCACTAATATGGAATAAGGGTGACAATTACTACTAGGAATATGGAACAAGGGTCTCTCTGATAGTAAGTGGTACTCTACACTCACCATATGAAACATAACAATATTTAGCTGCTATTTTACGATGGTTTTATGTAAGTGCGTGGTCCTTCCACGGTCGAGGCGAACCATTTGTGCTATAACCATAATATAGCTCCAACTTGGCTCTAACGCGCATTATGTCGCTTTTTTATGAATTAATAAATTAATGTTGGTTCTATAATATAGTCACAGGAACGAATCATTGACATATTCATCACTGTAACACAACATAATATAAAGAAATAAAAACAACAAACTAACATGAAAGTGCTGATTTACCAAATTCTCGGCGGTGAAGGAAATATGGTGAAGGGAACCTGCATGTGCGTACATTACATTACATGTACAAAAAGGCAAGTGAAATCCACCAAAACGTATTGGGACGGTACAGCGAAAACTTTCTTAGACTTACAAGGCGCAGGCCTCTTCTCAGTAGGACGTATAAAGACTGTAACTTTACCTTTTTACTTATAAACAAAATAAACAAAAACATTTGACTACAGCAACAAAAAGACATCCCACACAGTGTGATGCTGTAGCGGAGTTGCCACAGTTAAGCACTGTTATTCTGTGGTTCGTGTGTAACCGGTTTTTTGTTGATATTCCTTGTGTTTTCTTATGGAAGTGAAGGCAAACGAGCATAATGCTTACCCGACGGTAAGTGATCACCATCGCCCATGAACATCTGCAACACCAGGGGTACTGCAAACGCGTTGCAGACCTTTTAGAAAGGATCTTTCCTTGAAAGTCTTTAAGTCGTATCAGTACAGAAAATATACTGACGACAGAAAATTCCACAGTACGGTCAGAAAATTTGTTGTTCTGTAGCCATGATCTAATATGGGTCAAACAAATTTCCGAACAGGCACGGAGTGTATTATAATACAGTGTAACAGATCAGTAGTAACAGTAATTTGAGCTCATCATGCATTAATAGAAAATAATCATTCCCAAACTACACAAAGATTATTTATTACCATTATATTAGGAATTTATTTTACTATTCTTCAAGCATATGAATATTTTGAAGCACCTTTTACTATGGCTGATAGTATTTATGGATCAACTTTTTTTACAGCAACAGGATTTCATGGATTACATGTAATTATTGGAATAATTTTTAATAACATGTTTTCTTCGTCATTTAAATAATCATTTCTCAAATAAACATCATTTTGGTTTTGAAGCAGCAGCATGATATTGACATTTTGTTGATGTAGTACGATTATTCCTTTATATTTCTATTTATTGACGAGGAAATTAATTTATTTATATAATATATTTAGTATATTTGATTTCCAATCAAAAAGTTTAATTAATTTTTAGTATAATTAATTATTGTGTTGATTGCTCGAGATAAACCCCGTATTTTCCAAGCCCCCGCCCATGAACATGATTAGGGAGAAGTAGGCTCAGACTCATGACTAACAAATGTTAAATAATTATTTTATTATTAATTATATCAATTTTAATTATTATTTTATCTAATTTTATAATAATATTATCTATAATTTTATCAAAAAAAATCATATAGACCGAGAAAAATGTTCTCCATTTGAGTGTGGATATTATAATACAGTGTATTATAATATAGGTACTCCGTGTCTTTATTACGTACATGTTAATTGCAATTGTTGCGGAAAATTGTACATAGAAATCTGATTAAAATACCTTGTTAAAATTGACGCCAATCTTAACGAAGGTAATCCTAATAGAAAAGTTAGACGAAGCGTAAGTAATGGTACATTCAAACTCTTTTATTTGTAGAGTGGCTGCCTCTAGAAAATTATACAGGCACTTATTAACTTAATTTTATTTTGACACTTGTTTTAGGTGGCTACACTTTACAAAATTTGGTGGTTAGACAAAAGGATATCGTGCCCCAAAGATTTTTTCCTCGAGTAGGAAGAGGAGAAAATACAAATGCGAAGTTACTCATAGGTGCTAATATAGAAAGGAAGTAAGAACTATTTATTTGATACGCACATTCAAAACAAAGAAATACACAAACGCAAAGGGCAAGTTAACAATTAAGAAGCAGTACATACCGTTATCGTTACAGCGTTTTAAAGTCCACTACTGAACATAGGTCTCCCTATAGATTGCCTCAAAGAGATTCTTTATTTTTAGTCGTTAATTGTAGGACGCCGCTGCCCAACTCCTTGTTACAACACCCACGAGTTGATACAGGGTAGTGGATTTTTACACCGCTACTACACGGTATGCCAGCCAGCAGGCAGTTCCGTCTGCGCACCGCCCCCGAGCGGTCGTGCATCCAGTTCGTGCTCCAACCTCGTGCGGAGTGCCACCTCTCGCCCGCGCGCCCCGCTCTCCCCGGCTAACACCGGCCGAGCAGACGCCGTTGGTGAGTTCCTTTGTTTTTCGCATCGTTCTTGCCCCCTCGTTCCGGCGGGGAGGTTTGAGCGCGCTTTGCTTTGTTTTGTTTTATTTTTAATTTTTCTGTTATTGTTATACTGTTACTTTGTGTTGTTACTGTTCTTATAAGATCGTCTCTTGCTCTTCTCAGAGCGAGCCCTTGTTCTTTTCAGAACATATGGACCCCAGCTTCTCGGAATAGAGCATCAGTCCTCCCCATCTGCCACCCAAAGCCCTGTTCTTCTCAGAACAGTGACCTCTAGACTCTTAGAATAAATCGTCACCCCTCCTGTCCAAAACAAAATGTCTGCCATAGATATGAACCAAATTATGAGCCAGATTGCGGCCGTGATCCGTCAATTTGGCCAAGATTATGGAATAGCCGTCAATATTGACGAATCCCAACTCCTTAGGGTTTTTTACCCCAATCAGGTCCCCATTGCATTGTAAACCTCCGCCCTTCGTCGTGGCATTCTTAGCGGAGGATGACCCCGAAGCCATGAGAAACTCGGACACCGTGTCTGAAATTTCGTCCACCCATTAAGAGGTCTGCTCCTACATTGATCTCCTCACCCAGTAGCTGCTCCTCGGACTCATCACAGTCCGATCAATCAGTCATTGATACAACCCCCTTCACGGAAGTGAAATCCAAGCGCGGTTCGAAACGCACTGCGACCCCTCGCGCACCTCCCGCCCCCGCAGCCCCCGCGCCTTCCCGCTCCACTGAAGCCCCCGCGCCTGCTCAATCCACCGCAGCCCCCGTCGCTGCCACAAAGAAACAGGTCTCGCCCCCTGTCTTCCTCAGGGACAAGGCGCAATTTACTAGACTTTCTAAAGTCTGTTACGACGCAGGCTTTAAATATGACCAAGCCACCAACCTTGGTGAATCAATTAAAATCGTTCCGCAGTCTATGGAAGACTTTAGAAACATCACCAAACTATTCACATCCGAAGGTGTGCCCTATAAATAAATAAAATCAGGGCTGTCCTCCGCGGAGTTCCCTTTGAACTCGCCAACGAGGAAATTCTGGAGGACCTAAAGTCCCAAGGATTCCCAGTTGAGGCTGTGCACAAGATGCACAGCAGTAGGGCCAAGAGGTACTCGCTTGCCCTTCTCATTCTGTCCAACGTGCCGGAGGCGAAAGACATATTCCGACAGGTACACACTGTGTGCGGTCTGTCGAGAGTCAAAGTCTAAGCCCCCCTATAGGCGTGGTTTTCCGGCGCAGTGCCACCGCTGCCAACTCTACGAGCATGCGGCGACCAACTGCTCAGCCCCTCCAAGGTGCGTTAAGTGCCTAGACCCGCACAGCTCGAAAGAGCGTCCTCGGCCACGTGATACCCGCTTGCGTCCTTTGCGGACAGACCGCCCATACGGCCAACTTCAGAGGCTGCCCTCGCACGCCTCGCCCCAATGTCGGCAACAAAGCTGCTAAAAAAGCTCCGCCACCGGTAAATGACCGTACATTCCCGGCTCTCCCATCCAAAATGCCCCTTCAGTATACACTGCTATCCGCAATATCGACGTAAGAGAGATCGCAATTTTAGCACGCAAATTGCGCGCTTCTCAGTCCCCTCAAGACCGTCTGCTCGCGCTTACCGAGCACCAACTCCTTTTAAACTCAATATAAGTAGTCATCCCATTCGTAAGCTGCCTTAGCTAGGCAGCAACTCTTCCCAGCGGCTACTCGCCGCTAGCGCCCCCCTTTCACCCAAGGAGGGTCGCGTTCGATAAGGCTTAAAAATCTCTAGCTAGATTGTTAAGCCAGTCCCTAAAAGGTGGGGTTTAGTGGGTAAAAGTCTCCACATAACCACGCAGCCGGCTGCGTGGTATGCTATGAGCATTCCCCACCTCTATCCCCCGCTTTCCGGAGGGTTGCCCATATTTGCTTCGGGCGCAAAAAAAATATGCCAGTACGAGTACATAATATGTATCATTTATTAATACTAAAACAAAAAAGCAATAAAAACATATCAAATATGTCTCCAATTCAGCGTAATGTTACAAAGGCAGCGCTGGTT